CCAAATAGTTGGCAAAAACACAGCTGAATCGTGAAACTGTACACCAGGCTGCCAAGTCTCAAAGAATACTCTTAGGTACAATTTACTAAACCAACTAAATAAGAGGCAGCCATAAAGTACAGATGAATGCAGATGTTGGTGGACTCTAGAGTCACCTTTAAGCCTATTAAAACTTTAAACACTCTGGTGCCTGATAGCCCAAAAGGCTGAAAGTAGTGCTGTGGTAAGCTGCTTATAGGAGACGTGTGTGTGTGTGCGTGTGTGTGTGCGTGTGTGTGTGGTGCGTGTGTGTCTGTGAGGAGAGAAAGAAAGGGAGACAGAAGTCTGCTGCTACTGGGTGCCCACTTCTGCCCTGCTGGTCCTGAGAATGTACCTCAAAAAATATAATAAAATGTCTGCGAAAATCACCACATCAGCCTAGTGGAAAATGTAAACTGCTCCAAGACGAAAACTTCCAACAAAGCTGTTGAAGTCACAAAACTTTCATGGATTTTTAGAAACAAAATGCCTGCATCAAGTGCTTATGTGAAACACAATTCCATTAAGCTAATATATGAAAGGAAGCAAGCATGAACTTTAACTTAGGAAACCAGCTTCTACACTTCTACCCTAGAGATAAGACTGTACCACAGGGCTGAGAGGGAGATGCTGTCTTTGGAGCTGGAGGACCCTCCCTCAGCTTGGGTCTCCTCAGATGCCAAGGCATGGCTCCATTTCCTGGAGCAGTGCTGTTTCCTTAGGAATAGAAGATTGATTCCCTAGGAATAGAAGAATATGGTTTTGACCCATGTTTGCACTGTGCTGTACAATGTACAGAGAGCAAGCACATATGTGTATATCTTTCAAGATCCAACTCTTCTAAATTTTGAACATCTTTTGTCCCAAAATATGTCTTTTGGGATTCCAAGATGTAATCCTAAAATTCTGACTAAAATTTTGTCCAGTGGTAAAATTATGGGCTTTTACTCATTTGTCTCGAGACAATAATCAGATTGAAAGGAAGATGTTGAGGAGTTGACAATCTGGAATATTAACTACCTTTACAGTAAGCACCATTTACATGTCATCCAATTATATTTTTCTTCTTTTTTAAGATAAAAAATTTGTGCATTGCCCAAATTCCTTATATAGAATGAAAAACAATCAAGCTAAATGCACAGAAGAATTGAGGGACCCAATAATCAAATGTTGCAATTTATCACTTTCGATGTATTAAAGGATGTACTGAATGTAACTATTATAGGAATGCTGAATACAATGAAATATAATTTCAAATGATAAACTCACTTGTTAATCCAGCTCCCCAGAGAAAGCAGATGCCAAGATGGGATTCACATGAGAGGATTTCATCAAGGGAGACACCTGGGAGAACCATTTAGATGGATAGAGTTCCAACCACAGTGCAGGAGAGAGAGACAAGAGGTTGGGCAGTAGCACCCTACACTACAATAGATAATGCTGGGATAAGTAGATAGCCATATGCAAAAGAATGAGGTTAGACCCCTTCCTCACACCATACACAAAAATTAACTGTAACTGAACCATGGGCTTACATATAACAGATAAAATTATAAAAATCTTAGAAGAATACACAGGAGTCAATCTCATCAGACACTTTTCTAAACTTCCTTTCAAAAGTCTAGGCTAGGCCTCTCCATGGTACATTGGCCAGATGGGCAGATTCTGTCTTCTCAAAACTGACAACTTAAAACATAAAATAACCCAGCAAAAATGATATGTGAGGCAGACCAATGAACAAATAAGTCTGAACATAAGTATGTATTTAATTTTGTGGTTAAGAACACAGACTCAGGAGTCACACAGAATCCCAACTGCACTACTTACTAGTACTGATAATGACCTTGGACAAGTTACCTAACATCTCTGTGCCCAGTTATCACATCTGTAAAGTGGGATAATCATAAAAATACCCAACTGTATTAGTCAGGGTTCTCCAGAGAATCAGAAAGAATAAGGTGTGTGTGTTTGCGGGGCGGGGGGGGGGGGTGTAAAGGGATTTAAGGAATTGATTCATGTGATTATGGAGCCAAAATTGGCAAGTCCAAAATCTGCAGGGTGGACTGGAAGACTGGAGACCGGGAAAGAGCTGATGCTTTGGTTCAAATCCAAAGGCCATCTCCTGGCAGAATTTCCTTTTGCCTGAGGGAAATCAGTCTTGTGTTCTATTCAGGGTTTCAACTGATTGGATGAGGTCCACCTGCATTATGAAGGGCAATCTGCTTTGTTCAGTCTACCCAGATGAATGTTAATCTCAACCAAAACACCCTCACAGAAACATTCAGTAAAATGTTCAACCACATATCTGGGCACTGTGGCCAAGTTAACTGAACACAAAAAATTAACCATCACATCACTTAAAAGGGCTTTTGCCAGGATTAAATCAGTAGACATATAAAATTCTTAGGACTGTGACTGGCACATAATTGGTGCTACATAAGTGTTAGCCATTGAGACAATTATTGTCATTTTTATTACACAAGGGGAAATGGAGTGGCAAAGGGGCCATGTTGCTTACCTTCCAGAAGCAAGACCCATTCTCTTACAAAGCAGTTGGGAAGGGCCTCATTAAAAACAGGGAATTTCTGTATATTGTGGGAATGAGGAAAGAATGACTAGAACACCAAGACACTAGGGTGTGGCTTTGGGGGAAAATGTGACTAGGAGCAGAGGACATTGTGCAGCATTAGTAAGAAAAGGGTTAGACTTTGGAGCAAAAGATGAGAACCCGAGCCTTCTTTTGCAGAGCCACTGGAAGACCCTCTGAGGCATGGGGATCAGGTTGAATGCACTGGGGAAACACAGGTGTGAAATAACTTTGGCAGTAGAGTTGAAGGAAGGGCTGAGTAGGAAGTGGAGGCTTTCAAGAAGAGGAGATTGTGGCACTCCACATACTGAGTGAAGAAAGGCCATTTTATCCACTGTCCCTAAGAACTACAGAAATGAAAAGTAAGGTCTATAATACAGTGGAAAATATAATAGAGTTTCTTGCTTAGGACTTTGAAAATTGCCTGTAGGTAGATTCCTATAAAGGGGATGACTGGCCTAATGGGAGAGTGGCAGAAAATTAAGCAACTTCTTTCTACAAGTGGCATTTTCGCTTTTCCCTTGCTATGCAGCTTATCTCTCACTTTAAATAAATCTACTCCTATGAATTTATAGCATTAATAAAACAGGACACTAATTTATGCTGCTCAGTCAAAAGGCTCAAACATAACACTGTATGTTAGACAATGACAAATTATGTTATTGCAGCTTAACTACAGCAGACATTCATAATCCAAAAGAAAAAGAGAGGACAAAAATTAAGTTATGGGATCAGGGCACCAGTAAATCCTCACACGCGGGAGGTTAAGAGGGGAGTCATTCAGAACCAAGAATTAAGAATAGGTTGCAAAACCACTTGTAGTTCAAGACCAAGAAAAGTCCATCCATGAATATCATTTCCATCCCTTGTTTGCCTGCCATCTTTTGATTAAACAGAACACTTTTTCCCCTAAATGGTATATTTTTGTGGTTATAGCTAACATAACATGTAATTATGCCCTAAAACATGACAGCAGCACAAATAGGCCAGCCAATTGAATCAAGCCAGATCATCTGGCCAGCCATCTCCAGGTTCCTCGCCTGCTTTTGTGCTTGATGTGTTTTTATCATTGTTTTGTTTCTTTTTAAGATGGAGTCTCGCTCTGTCGCCCAGGCTGGAGCGCAGTGGCCTGATCTCGGCTCACTGCAAGCTCCGCCTCCCGGGTTCACGCCATTCTCCCGAGGAGTTGGGACTACAGGCGCTGCCACCATGCCCGGCTAATTTTTTGTATTTTTAGTAGAGACGGGGGTTTCACCGTGTTAGCCAGGATGATCTTGATCTCCTGACCTCGTGATCCGCCCACCTCAGCCTCCCAAAGTACTGCGATTACAGGCATGAGCCATCACGCCCAGCCGTGTTATCATTGTTAAGCATCCCAAGTGATTCTCAGGACGCAGGAATAGGTAGCACTGCCCAAAGGGAAGACAAATATGGAGGAACAAAAATGGAAACTTTGTGCTCCATCAGCTCCTCTCATGTAGAGACCGTTCCCACACCAAAAACCATGCGGGATCCTGCTTGACTTTTCCCTGGGATAGGGTGATCTCCCGCAGCCCCCTAGCTTCCACATTGTGCTGGCGACAATGCCATCATCCTGGAGAGGAGTGGGGTCTGTGGAAGGAGAGAAGCGGCACTCCTAGGCCCACCATCCCGTTTCTTTCGAACTGTGCTGTGCTGTGCTGACACCCAGCTCCAGCGCAATATGTGAGAGAAAGCTTCTTGGGAACTTGGGAACGCTCCTCTTAGGGAGAAATTTAAGAGAATCCCTGACTTCTGCATTTCATTTTGGATGACAAGTTGGCTTTTCAGATCAGTCAGGGAAGGCAGGGAGGTGGGGAAGCCGTGGGAGGGAGAGGAAGCTCCGCTCTTAGAGCTAAAGCCCAAGAACTGCAGCCAGGTTATAAACATTTCCATGGCTCATCACGGCAAAAGCAGAGGATGTGACCGCAGGGCCATGAGGATTGGACATATCCTGTCCCTCAACTTTATAGCTGTTTTATTTCCTTTCAGACTCAGAAAACTTGGATTGGAGTTGAGCCAGGGTGGAGAAATCAAGATCCTCACCTACAAGAAGAACTTAGAACCCTGAGCAGGCTGTCTGGGGAGAGGTGCTGATTCCAGTCTTCAGTGACCACATAGCCATCCAGCCATGGGCTCAGCTCCTGAGAGGGGAGTCCTCAAATGGAGGCCTTGCCTGGGCAGGGAGCCCCTGCCCTTCTCCACAGAGAAGAAACCAAATGGCCACCTTTCAACCTCCCAGGGCTTACAGGGTCTTCACAAGCTCTGTTCCCAGCAATCAAAATCAGAGGTAAATTCCCAGTGGTGATCTGGGAAGAGTGGATGGGGGTCAATAGGAAAAAGGGGTTGGAAATTGACGAAGGTCTAGTTCCCTTGCCTTCAGATTCATGAACCAGCAGCACAGTGATTCCCAACAGGACTTGTCCTAACATGGTGCTTTTTTCTCCTTCTGAAAGTTAGTATAGCTGAGCCAAGCTTTCTGTCTTCTTTCCCTGGAGAAAACAGAAAAAAGGGCCTGTGTCCTGCATTTGAAAAACATCTGGTGGGACTATCAGGAGAGAAAAAGCAAAGACTATAATTTAACTTACCTTTTGGGATAGTTTTTATTACATTTACTTTCTTGGATACGCAAAAAACTTTGGCATTTCCCCATTAGTTAATGGGTTCGGAATTTTATTAATCAATGTCTAAATGTTCGTAAAATAATGCCACCTTTTAAAACCAGGGGCAAGGACTCCTTCCAAATGCTTCCAGTCATAAGGAATAATATTAAAATGCAGGTTGCATATGTGCCAAAACCAGTCTTCAGGGAGTGAGGCATAAGGCCTCAATTATCCCAGTCACCTCCAGAGCCAGAGATCAAGGGCAGAAATCCATGCCAGACCAAGGAATACACCCGAGGATTGGGCCTACCAGGCCCTTTCGCAGTTCAAGCTGATCTCCTCACTTCCCTCCTCCCAATCTCCACACAAAACTCACCCTATCCCCGGTCTCCTGTGCCCTAAGGGCTACCAGAACAGTTGGGTATTAATCACACATCTCCAGGGAGCGTGTTGTTGCTCAAGCTGAGTGTGGTTCTCCCTGGCAGTTGCATGCTGTGCTTTAAGTACCGGGAAAGTTGAAAGTATATCTTACATCCCCTTTTTTTCTGAGTACTCACTCCTGCTATCAGTTGATGTAACTGTTTTTTTATGTCAGATTCCCCACCTGGTTTGTAAAATCAATGAGAACAGAGACCGTATTTGTTTTATTCATATTCAATACCAAGTACCCAGCAGAGGACCTGGTACAAAGTAGGTACTTGGTAAATAGTTGAAAAAAAAAATCCCAGGAATTCTCTCCCTGGTAAACACCAAAGAGATATGAATGCATTTGTCTTTTAAATATCACAGATGCAAATGTTCATAACAGATTTATTCATAATAGTCCAAAACTGAAAACAACCCAAATCTTCATCAAGTAGTAGAATCAACAAATAGAAGGTGGGGTATTTGCAGTGGAATAATAATCCCAAAAAAAGGAATATAAAAAAGAAGCTACAACTCTACTCAACCACACAATATTGAACAAATGAAGTTCCCCAAAATGTGTGATTACATTCATATGAAAGTTGAAGACCAGACAGAACAAATCTATGATGATAGAAGTCAGAATAGTAGAAACTCCTGAGCGGGGGTGGGTGGTGGTGTATGGGTGGCCAGGTGTCAGGGGATTGACAGGGAAGGGGCCAGGATTGCTTGAGGAGCTGGAAGCCTTTCCTTTAGGTTGTGATGGAGTGGATGCTGAATGTTTCCACATTGAGAATGACAAAAAGGAAAGCTACACTTTAGGGCTCTGCATAGGACTTGGGTCCTATCAATTGCTGTATAAGAAGGAAAGCTCCATGAGAAGAGCGACTCATCCTTGTTCATATGAATCTCAGGATTTAGAATAGTGGCCGCATACAGGAAAATGTTTTTGAATGAGACAGATTTGGAGTCCTTTTGCCTCCCTGTGACCATGGGTCTCTCCTTGATTCTCCCATCAGCACCCTCTCATGCTCACTGAACGCTCTCCCCACATGAGGCCCTGCTGTGCCTGCAGGCCAGCGGCTACCTCCAGTCAACACGTCTAAATTGGCATACCTCCTATTCCCACCCTCAGCAGTTCTTTCTCCTGGGCTTCCTGTTAATCTTCCACACCTTCAACTTACCCAGACTTGACACTTGGCCATCTTTAACATCTCCCTCTCCCTTATATACCACAACTACTCTTAAACAAGAGCCGATCTGCTATCATCTCACTCCAGTTAAAATGACTATTATCAAAAAGACAAAAAAATAAACCAATGATGGTGAGGACATGGCGAAAGGAGAATTTTTATATACTGTTTGTGGAAATGTAAATTAATACAGTCATTACAGAAAACAGTACAGCATTCCCTCAAAAAATTAAGAATGTAACTACTATAAGATCCAGCAATCCACTACTGTGTATATAGCCAAAGGAAAGGAAGTCAGATATTTTAAAGAAATATCTGCACTCCCATGTTTACCACAGCACTCTTCACAATAGCCAAGATATGGAATCAACTGAAGTGTCCATCAAAGGATGAATAGATAAAGAAAATCTCACATATATACACAATGGAATACTATTTAGCTGTAAAAAAAAGAACAAAATCCTGCCATTTGCAACAACAAGGATGGAACTGGAGGACACTGTGTTAAGTAAAATAAGCCAAGCACAGAAAGACAAATGTCACATGTTCTCACTTATATATGGAGTCTAAATAAATGAATCATATGGAGATAGCAAATAGAATGATGGTTATCAGAGGCTCAGAGGGTAATAAGGAGGGGGAATGGGAACGAAAACACACTTAGATATTATAGAAGGAATATAATCTAGTGTTCAGTAGTATAATAGGGTGGCTATAGTTAACAATAATTTACTATATATTTTTAAACAGCTAGAAAAGAAGATTTGGAATGTTCTCACCAAAAGAAATAGTAAATATTTGAAATGGTAGATATCCCAATTGTGCTGATTTGATCATTGCACATTGTATACATGTAACAAAACATCACAGTGTACCCCATAAATATATACAATTATTGTGTATCAAAAATAAAGCTTAAAGAGAAAAAATGTAGAAGGAAAAAAACAAAGAGATGCAAAATTTAAAAAAAAAAAAAAAGAGCCCATCTGTTGTCATTATCTGTTTCTACTCACAACACCCTGACAGCAAAATATGTAAGTTTTTTTCCACCCACAACCAGTTCTCCAGCTTTCCAGACACCAACTGGGTGTCCAATGATTAAATTCCATTCTGACACTAGGTACCCAGAGTTAGTTCAGACCCCAGATTACGGCCTCAGTCCCACATGACTGTCCCACTTCAGACACCAATCACAAGTCCCAGCCACCCATACTTCTGATAAACCAGTCATAAAGTCAGAGGTTCCCACAACCCCTTCCTCAGTTTTGATGGTTTGCTAGAACAGCTCACAGAACTCAGAAAACCAGTTTACTTCCCATTGCTTATGTATTATAAAAGCTAAAACTCAGGAAGCACCAAATGGAAAAGATGCATAGGGCCAGGGATGGGGGTGAGAACACGGAGCTTCTGTGCCCTCTTCACACCTCCATGTGTTTGCTGACCAAGAAGCCCTTCGAATCCTATTGTTTGGGGATTTTATGGAGGTTTCATTACATAGGCATGACTGATTAAATCATTGGCCACAGGCGATTGACTCAATCTGCATCTCATCTTCTTTCTTCAGAGGTTGAGGGGTGAAAGTGGGGTTGAAAGTTCCAACTTTTCTATCCTGCCTTGGTCTTCCTGGGAACCAGCCCCCAGCCAGAAGCTACCCGGGGTCCCCCAGCCCCCAGTCATCTCACTAGCATCCACTCAGGCATGGTTGAAAGGGGCTTATGAATAAAAAAATACATTTCTCTCATCCCATCATTCAGGGAATTCCAAAGGTTTTAAGAGCTCTGTGTAAGGAACTAGAGCCAGGGCTAAAGCCCAAGGATATCTTTTTGTATTATATCACAATATCAGGCTATCTTCTGCACCATTCCCTCCTGGCAGTTCTTACCACTACTGTTTAAACTCAGGCCTTGATTATTTCAGCCTGAAATAAACATTCTCCAGGAACCTCTGACCCATCATTCCTAGCACACAGTTGGAGTCATGGTGCTTTACTGTTCACACACTTTCAAAGGCTCCCACTGCCGACCAGGTAAGACACGATAGGCCTTATCCTGGCACTGACAGTCTTCTAAAAATAGGCCTCAAAACACCTTTTATCTTTATCTCCTGTTACTCCCCTCCACATACCCTATACTTAAGTTAAAGGGAACCATGTGAATACCCCAAACAAACACGTCAGTTTCTCACCCCATGCCTTTACTCCTTGCCTTCCCTCTGGCAATGCCTTCCTCTCCTTTCTCTGCCTGCCCTCTGTAACACTACAGGTTCTAGTTGAAATCATGACCACCCTTCACAAAGACTCATCCCACATGTTGGTTCCCTAAACACCTCAGTTCCTGCTCTCAATTGATTGTTTCTATTTGTGCTGTTCTCATGTCACTTACTGTATGCTGCTTTATGGTGATTTCAGTTCCCTTTTAACCTGTAAGCCCATTTACGGCAGAGTGCATGTCTTACTCCTCCTTGAACTTATATAGTATCTTATCCTCAGATGCTCATTAAATGCATACCGATTGTAAAAATAAATGCACGAAGGAAAATAAAATCAAGTCTCAGCTAGCTGTTACACTGAATAAGACAACAAATTAATTCACACTTAGATGGAAATGACTGCTTAAATGATTATATACACAAAGATATTTTCATTGTAATTGCAAACAATTCATTAACCAAAGAATGGCACTAAATTGTGGAACCTCACATGGGTAGTGTTGGAGTTTCCTGGTGCCACCTAAAATCAGATCACCAACTATCCTACTTTGGGTGTGAACTGCCTTAAGGATTGCCTAGGCCTAGATGTTTCAGGGTCCCCAGGATAGTCAGCTCTCCCATGTGACCAGTGCATCTTTATAATGCCACTCAGTTCAAAGTCAAACAAGGCTGACTGTCACATCCACCCTGCCATCCACTATAATATGTTACTTCGGGAAACTGACTACCTACCTGAGGCTTGGTTTCTTTGTCTGTCAAGCAAGCATGATAGTACTGCTTTTCCAGGTTCTCATGAGGAACAGTGATCCAGGCAGGCAAGTAGAAGCTGCCAATGCAGCCGTGAGCATTCAAGTTTCTACTTGGGCCTCCAAGCACCACAGGTATGCTTGTGGTTCTGTCTGGCTCCACGTGGCTTTGGCAGGAGAAAGGGAGTCTGCCTCACTCTCTTGCTGGACACTGCAGGAAGATGTTCTAAGCCTCCCCTCCAGTCTTTGTGGAAAATTATAATAGGAAGTGATTTGGGGCAGGCTCCCTGATTCTTATGACTTTCTCCACCTCTGAGTTCACTGAGACCAAAGGAGC